GGCATTTATTTTTTTTGGGAAAACAAAAAAAAAAAAAAAAAAATCAAATTTCAGTCTTATTTTACATTTCTTTCATGTTTAGGAATGTCTAAATTCAGTTAAACTAGAAATTTTGTATTATAAATCATATATAAAAATCAGATTTTTCTTAACTGAATCTTTGCTGGGAATGGGGCTTCAAGAAAAAAAAGAGTGCTGTCATGGCAACAGCTACTGTATGTTCACTCGACTGGATAAAATCTACAATGTTCAATACATTAATCAATATGGATTAAACTGGCACTTTACATCTGAAATTATCATGTTTGATATTAATACAGTATACTTGAGCAATATGCTGCAACCATGCAGCTGACATATTTGCTTTCTTCGCTCATCTTCAATTCCACTACTGTACATCACCATTATTACTTCATCATTCACTTCTAAAATCAACATTATTAATAATTACTTTAAACTGATAAAAAGGATTTCAATCTCTACTGGCATTTGGATAATAGCCACATCATTGTTGTGAACAGCAATAATACATTCATTCATAGTATGCTTGATGGTCCTCAGATCGGGTCCTGGTAAAGATTAACTCTTTCTTTCATTCTTTGATATTAAGTATCTCCTTCGTACATTTCAATTATGTTCACCACATTGTTCTAGTTATTCAGTAGTTCCTATAGGAACACTGTTGTTTACGGTAATTCTAAGTCTTTCATATGTTTACTTTTAAAGTCAGCTTCATTCAAAGAGGCTGCATAAGAAAAAAAAGTCCAACCAGGGATCCAAGCAGGGATCATGCTTACCAAATTCCAATCATTAATGTACAGTATCTACAAAAATTCATTTTGTTTTTCCATGGACATACTGTACAATCATCATTACGTAAATTAGGAAAAACACACCTGTGAAGTAGGCCTACAGTATGTATTGATTGATCTTGACATTGCAAGGTCATAACACAACACAAATAGTACTGTACAGTTACTTTGAATTGCATTTCTATTGTTTTTCATCTGACCATTTGTTTGAAACTGTCAGTTGTTAATGTGGTTGTCTCCACTGTCCATTTGTTGGCAGCCCTCTGCTCATTCAAAGCAGGTTTACCAAGAACAGGCCAAGGACCTCAAGTTTGTAAATAGATAGATATTCATGAACACAAACAATGGAATATACTGAACTGTCTATTTGTAGAATGATGTCACAGTTAATTATACAGTTACCATCAAGAAATCAGGAATATTTATAGGCATACAGTAGTATATCTGATCACACACAAAACAAGAAGTAAAACATAAGGCATGAGGCTTGCCATCCCCAGACCTGCGTACTGTTCCTGATTGTAAACTGAGTAATTAGCATAAGAATGTAGCAGGATTCAGTACAGAAGCCATAAAACTTTCTAAACTCATAAACTTTGGGAATAGTCGATTCTAGTAAATAACCCATCATATTTATTTATTTAATAACCCATCATATTTATTTATTTATTACATATTTTGTGGAGAATAAGAATATTAAAAAGCTGATAATTTTCATTTTTTTTTGGGTCACTGATGCTAGTTTGGGATGGCAAGCCTCATCACACACACACTATGGTTCCACATTTTGAATAAATAACATTGAAATTTAGAACATTCGTTTCTCAGCTGGTTCTCTATTACTATTGGGACTCTAGCAGCTATAGTCACCTTGGTGAAGACATAAGATGATTATTATTATTTTTTCAGCAGAATTTACTTATGTTTAAGAAAAAAAGGTCTTCCTATAGCAAAATATATAAAAATGGAAATAAAAAAAATCTATTTAATTTTATACTTAATTTAATAAAATTTGAACCATCAATATATGCATGATATAATAATAATAAAATAGAAACATAAACATAATGTAGAATGAAATTAACTCTCATGATGAAGTAATGTTATGTTCATCCGTATGAGTCATCGAGAAAAGGTCAGGGGTTATGTGATAAAAGTGGCGTATTGGAATAAGTTATCAAAACAAGACAGAGTACTGTACTGTACAGTATAACAATAGGGATAATACATTCTTGCCGGTGGACAACAATCAATATAACATTTAACAATGATTATTAGTTAATTATAATGCAATAGATTAAGTATGAAGATAATTAATAAAGGATTACTCAAAGAAAAATGTCATAGGCATACCTTTGTAGTTCACAGTTATCAAAATGTGATTGGCAGTATTCCCTGCCCTCCCCTTTAACATTACCTAAATTATCAATAATAGGTATTCTGTATGCAGTATTCTATTTACGGTATACTTACTGTATGTTTTTATAGAGTATTGTTAATATTAACTTTCTTTTTAATTACTGTATTTTCTTTACAAAAATAAACAAAGACTATTCAATGCAAAATATGAAGCAATTGACAAAGTACGCTTTGTTAAACATTTTGGTCTAATTTTATTTATTGTAATGATAATGCATACACTAGTTGAACTAAACCGATGCAAAGTTTATAGCTAAAAATAAGAATGATATTTTATAAATAAGTTGAAACAGGATACATGCTAAAAACTGTTGAAAACTAAGCACAAATCTCGACATAAATGAACATTACTTCAGTCACAGGGTAAATCTAAAATGGAAGGAACCAACAATACAAGTGCTGTATTCAATTAAATTAATGGAAGAGTCATGTAATGCATTTTTGCAACACAGATCAGTTTCTGGGCAAATAGTAATTTGGTAAGTAGTATCAGTCACTTAATCTAGAAATGGGTGAAGAACATTGTAGTCCTTTTAAAATAATCAAAATGTGGCTTTAAAGTATAAAATGTAATTTTATAGAGATATACACAAGCTGATGCCAATATTTAAAAAAAATAAAATTTATAAACAAGAATTTTTTTCTTACTATGATTTTAATCAAACTTTTGAAATGAACGAAATTTTACATTTCATCCAATAATAAATACATTTTTTTTACTACAGCACCTACTTTAGAAGTCAAGAATTTTTTGGTTAGTTTATGGGACATTACTTGGTGGCCCCTTTGTAACATAGCCACTAAGTATTATTTAACCGCCTGTTTTTATAATTTAGTGCGCATACTTTACAGGCAATGTGTAATGTGCTAAAGTGCCTACAGTACATTTATTATTTTAAAATATACTGTACATTAGCAACCATGTAATGTCAAGCCAAAATGTTAGTAACATGCTATGTACAAGTGCTTTTGATAATTTTATTTAATTAAATTTTGAATAATTTTATTTGGCAATATATAAATGTATTATTTATTATAATATATTATAACACATCATTATTATTATTATTATATGATTATTATATAAAGATACATATTTTCAAGCAAAAAATATTTTTCAAAGAAAAGTAAGTCCAAGTATGAAGATGTTTTGTGCAGGGACCCGACGCTTTTGTTGCTTTCACTAGCAAACTTGATTTTATGAAGAATAAAATTATGAATTATGGATTAATATTGTTTGTTCAGTGAACAAGAGCT